TTTTTTTGGTTTTTCTCCGGTACCAGGAACCGAACTCACGACCTTGCGCTTGCCAGGCAGGCGCTTTGCCGCTGAGCTAAATCCCCAGCCCCCATTTTATTCTTTCATTTCTGAGATAGGTGGCCTCACTGTGTTGCCTATGCTGGCTTCAAGCTTTTACACTCCAGAGATCCTTCTGCCTTAGCCTTTTGAGTATCTGGGACTGCAGGCACATACACTAGCACAGATGGCTCCTGTCACAATTTCTATCCATTATATCAAAAGTTCCTGGATTTTTATGGTGTTTAGTAGTAGTATGGTACTAGAAATTGAATCCAGGCCCTTGTGCATGTTAAGCATATACTATCACTGAACTATGGCCTCATTCTGCCAGATTTTAGATGTAATAAACTAATAATTTTTATTGGAAAAACATAGGATTACTCACATCTTATTTAAGCATTAACAGAACAAATATTGCTGCTACTTCTACCACTATCTCTTATAACCATCGTTTCATAAAATAAAAGCATTTAAAAAATTTAAAGATTTCAAAAAAATAATTTTATTTTTTTTTTAAAAAGAGCTTCACTTCATCATCCATATTTTTCCAGTTTTACCAGGGAGGGTTGAAAACAAGGACCCCGCCAGGCACTGGGCTGCGGCCGTACGGGAAGCACGCAGCACGAACTCAGTGCAGGCAAAGTCAGCTGCCCAAGTATGACCAGGCTTGGGATTTCCGACTGCTCTCCAGTGCTTACTGCACCACCCAGAAGCGCCAGTGCCCGTCGCTGTTGCCCTGGCTGATGTAATGCCCTTCACCACACGAACGCTTTATTGTACCAGATCTGGAGCAGACTCCTTCTTGGATTTTTTTATCCTTCAACCCCAGAGATGAATGGCTGTTTGTCGTTGTTTCTGTCTTGGTTGCTCTGCATGGGTGGAAAGCATTCAGTGAGCTCGAATCTCCTTTAGGAAGATTCCTTGCCTTCAAGGAGCTGGCCACAGCGCGCTGCCTTTGTATTTTGGAGCGGGCTGATGGGACCGACATGCTGCACTGGCTGTCACTATGTCAACTCTGCTTTGTATACACTTGGCATCTTCTTGCTCTGCTCCTCTCCACCAGCAAAGAATTCCAGGCTCCCCTTGCAAATGCAGTTCTTCTATGGCTCAATGCTTCACAAATTTGGAGGTTCCCTAGAGACTATAGGATTAAGTAGGTATGACACATACTTCGTTATGCATTTCCTAATATGTATACTATACTGGCAAATCATTCATATTTCATGATTAGTAAATGACATGTATTTTAAAGTGGTTTTCATTTCTCTCTGGAAAAACAAGCTGCAAAGATGTTAGTCAAGATGCTTAGTGTTGTTGTGTTGACTGTGTTTTAGATAGGACTGATACCTCTTGACTTTGGATTAAGTTGAACAACAAAGGCAACACAGGATAAGTATCAGTCTCCACAGTGCTAAAGTAAAAGTTAGGTGAAAAATTAAGGATCTGAAAGCAGAGGGAGAGGGTTGAAATGGGGCCGTGTATCTGTGCTGGTGAAGGTACCATGCCAAAGCACATGTACTAGAATAGAAGTAAAAATTGTCACTGTTGCTTTTACTAATTATCAGATAAATGCCCGTTTTTACATTTCCTTTTTCTGAAGTAATATTTTAAATCCATTTTAGATCATTGACGTCTCACAGGAGATTGCCATTCAAGAGTGCCCTGGCGATAATAAATGTTAAATGATGCCAACATTTCTAATCTTTCCCCATTTGGGAAACAGAAGTTCTAGTTCCCATTTTTTCATAACTGTTTTTTAATTGATGAAGGAAATTTTTCTTTTATCCCAGGGTTACTAACCTTCCTCAGTCTTTTGTGTATTCCCCAATCAAAAGGTTTTTGATTATCTAAAGAAATGACACCCACTGGTCTGCCTTTATAGATCATTTTGTTACCTCTTTCAAAGCATCTTAACAGGTTGGGGAGCCCAGATTTACCCCAACAAAAGCCAGGCTGGTCGCTCTCTTTTGTAACCTCCGCCTCTAAGCAATTTATAACTTTCTCTTCAGTGCACGGCTGAATTGGTTATACTGGGATCCAAGAGCGGCTGTGGGGGGTCCTGGATTGTTTTCAGGGGTCATCAGAGGATCTTTCTAGAAAATTATGGCGGCCCTGACATAGCGCTCAGAAAGATAAAGAGAAAACTTTGTTTTCAGCCCCTGTTGATTTCTATTTTTACTTAATCATTTTAATTATTTTCAAAGCCAGAAGTAAAGAATTGTCCTGAGTTCTCTTAGGCTGAGCAGGGTGAAAACTCGAGTGGAGATTAAAGTATAGGGAGATTACGGAGGGAAAGAGAGGGAGGCTTTGGAGCACAGCCTTAGAAGGGAGGAAATAAAGGAACTTTTAGAATTTTAAATTCTTAAAGATAGTTTTTATTTAATTTTTGTTAGAAATTTAGAATTTAAAATTATGGAAATCATTAGATGGGATGAAGGCAAAAGATAGGGTGAAGGCAAAAGTTGGGGTGAAGATTAGGTGGGATGAACACATTAGATGTCGACAAATATGAAAATAGGTGCTTTGTAGCAGTTCATTCCTTCGTGTTTCTTTTTTACTCTATGGCACAAGTGATACAGGAATACTGTCTCTTTATAAATATGTTAAACAAAACATATAGAGTGAGAGTGTCTCATTAGCTGCCATTTCTTTTCTTAAAGGAAGCCGTTATTCTTTCAGATATACCCTTCCAGTCCTTCATCTATGAATTTACATGTGCACATACATACCTCAAATATACAGAATATTATTTTTATTAATGAATGAATTTGTTTACTTCTTCAAGTATGCACCGCCTCACACAGGCTAGGAAATATATTTTTAAACTTTTATAGAATGGGGTCCATATTATATAAATTGTATTTATGACTTGCTTTTTCACTTTGTAGGTGTCTTGGAACTTTTTATATGTTAGTACATGTACATTATTGGTTTCTTTGTAATGGCCACACTCTGTTTCATAATATATTTATACCAAAGTCTATGCTTACTAATGCCGTCTTGATAGAAATTTTCTGTTTCTAAATTATTGTTATGACAAGCAATAGCGCCTAAACCTCCGGATGCACAGGCAGAAGAATTTCTCAGAAGCGGAGTAGCTGGCCTTGCTGACTCCCAACTATTACCAGCATAGTGAAGCATCAGCCCCTCTCTAGGCTGCTGCCTCCATCACCCACTGCCCACGCAACAATAGGTGATTATTTGTGAATGCAAATCATGCCGATCATCTACTTAGAACGATTTGAGAACTTTCCCTGGCTTCTGGATAATAGCCTGGCTCCTTGATGTGACTTGTTGAGTCCTGACTGTGGTCCTAGTTTATGCTTCAGATGGATTTTTCATGGTTTTTATGTTTCAGACAAATGGAGTTCTGAAATCCTCAGCCTTTCTTTCACATCTATCAGCATCCATACTGCAAGTCTCTTCTGTTGGCAGCCTCCCACACGCACTCTCAAATGTACCCATCTTTACATCTTAGCTTGAAAGTAATTTTCTCCAGGATGTTTTTCCTAAACCACTCCAGTCTCCAACCTACACACTATGCCGGGACACATACGTGCACCTCCTGGTGAGATGCCCGGCACATATCTTCACAGGGCTCAAGTCCCCACGTCATGGCTGCTGCCATTTGGGTGAATCCTCTGCAAGTGTCCTGTAGCTTTCTACCCGTTACACCATTTAGGGATCATTAATGTTTATGATGTTCACACTGGACACCCTAAGATTCTTAAGTATCTCTTAAATTCTAAAGAACTTCAAATGATGTCACCGAGCCCAGCATGGCACATGGTACTAGAAAAGGGGTTTCTCTGAGGTGGGCCATCTCCAGTGGGAAGTGTGTGGGTGTGGCAGTGGTGGGGAGGGTAGAGACAGTCACTCTCTGCTTAAAAGATTTGTGAGTTTTTCAACCCCGGCCTGTCATCTGGAGATTCTTGTAGAAGTAAAAGTTGATGCACACTCCAGAATCATAGTCCTTGGAAATCATCTAGTTTCTTGCTCCTCAAAGGGTGATTTCATGGACCAGTGGTACCACATTGCTGTGAACTTGTTAGAAATGTCTCAGCCCTGGATTACAAGTCAGAATCTGCATTCTGTAAGTGCCCGGATGACTTGCCCATCCGTGCAAGTAGGAGAAACACTGCCCTTGTTTTCAACGTGGCGACATATTAAAGTCATCTTGGGAACTTTAAACAAGTGATTCTGTTGGCCTAGGGAGTGTCAGGTAGGGTGCTGCTGTTGCTTTTTAACTTCCCAAGTGATTCCAAGGCGTAAGCGTCAGGGCTGA